GAAAATGGTAGTTATTTTCCTTTTAAAGATTTTTGCTTTTTATTAGGTAATAATGCATCATCATGATGTTTTCTTTTCTAACACTTATTATTTTTCTTTCTTCTTGGTAAATTTCATAGGTAATACTTTCTTTTCTTAGATAAGTTTCCAATGTCTGAACATCATTTATTTTGAAAACATAAGGAGCAATTTTTTCACCTTGTTCTTTTTTTAAAATGCTTCTGATGGTATATAATTTCATATTAACTATTTTATATGGGGACAGTTCTATATATCACTTAACAAATGGGGCATTGTAAACTAATTGTGATGATAATAACTAAATTTTGATCCCTGAAATTTTTGGTAATATCAATGTTCACCATATGTATATATATAAAGCATTTTAATAGAAAACAATATGACTATAGATTTTTGGGATAAATTTAATTTTTGTTGTGTAATATTTTATTTTTTTGCATTGTTTAATTAATAATTATTATCTGTGTTTAGAATAAAAATAAAATATTATTGATTTTATACATATATCTGGTTTTTTGGGTTATTTAATAATCTAATTAATTTACAATTGTGCAGTACAATTTTTACATATGATATAATTAAATCTGGTAGATGGCATTTTTGGCATTCTTGACAGTTTTGGCATTTCAGCAGTTTTGATATTTCAGCAGTTTTGGGATTTTTGACATTTTTGGTAGGTTTTGGATTTTTGACATTTTTGACATTTTTGACATTTCAGCATTTTTGACATTTTTGACATTTTGACATTTTTGTCAGTTTTGGCATTTTGGCATTTTTGGTATTTTTGGCATTTTGGCACTATGTAGGAGGTTTTACCTTTCAGCATCAGGCTAAACAGATTTTGACAGGCAACCTTAGTTGAGTCAGTATCAGGGATTAGATGGTATACTTGAAGAGATAGATAAGTAATCTCTTAAAAACACTTATTCCATCTGACAAAACATTGGTTAGGAATTGTATCAAATTTATGAGTATGAGCTTTAATGCTATTTCAGATTATATAGTATTTGTACAATCATTTTTTTATTGTTACTAGCTTAGAAAAAATTATTTGCTACAATTTGATAATAAAGAAAAGTGCTGATTCTTGATCCATTCCAGACAAATGACCTGCTTACTATACAGTTTTCTCAAAATAACTTTGTGCTTCTTGAATAAGTGAAGAAAGTTGATTAGCTGATGAATCAATCCACTGTAGTGATATTAAATGTGAGTTGAGTATCTTCCCAACTTCTTCAATCTAATTAATGTCAATGATAAAAAAGCATTTTATATAAATATATGTGTAATAATGTAAATATAAAAAATATAAATAATAATTTAAAAAATATTAAAATTACTGGATCATCTTCAATGTCTTCAATCATCCCATCGTCATTACCATCACCTGCTGGTGCAGTGGTAAAACTAGTAGATGATGATGATTGATTTGTGTTGATTTCATTAATTAATGTAAACAAGTCTTGACTCATAATATCTAAATTTTGATTTACATATTCAGTTATTTTATACCTTTTCAAAAAGAAATAAAAAAGATTTTTTGATTAGTTATTTGATGAATGTTTTTCTCATTAAAAACATTTTAATATTTTTTCTTACGTTTCTTCTCTCTCTTTATCAAATGGATTCATATTTTCCCAAATAGATTCATCAAAAAGTTTTTCAAAATCATCTAAAACCTTTTCTAAAACCTTTTGCTTATTATCTGTTTCGTCTAAAAATGCATTAATTTCATTCTGTATAATTTTAGCCTCGTTAATTTTATCATTAAGCAGCATTACCTACAAGTATACACAAAAGTACATATCAATGTATATATTTAATTTATTTAGAAAAAAAATACAATAAATAAATAATAATTTAATTGATTAATTAATTAATTACCTTTCCATTAATTTCAATAACTCTTTGATCTAATTGATGAACTTCTTTTACTTGACCATTAAATTTTTTGGTGCAATTGTCGAGATCTTTTGTCCATTTATCAATGATTCCTTCTATATTGTTGTTTTTTAACCATGCAGGTATTTGATCAGTAGCAGTTTTTGTTGTAGAGGGTATTGATAATGAGGTTGAAGCTGTAGTTGTGGTAGGTTTTGTTGTTGATGTTGATGTTGTAGTTGTAGATAATAATGAAGGTATGGTTGTACTTGTGGTAACTGGTGTAGATAATTTAATTGATGGTGTAGTAGTAGCAGTGGTGGTAGTGGAATTAATAGAAGGAATGCTTGGTTTAGTGGTTGAAGGAATAGAAAATCTTGTTGCAGATGTTGAAGGTGTTGAAGGTGTTGTAAGAGGTTTTGTGGTTGCTGAAAATGAAGGAAATAATGAGGTCGGTGTTGTTGATGCTGTTTTAGGCGTTTCTGTTGTATCTTTTGAAATATTCAAAGTATTGGGTGCTATAAAAAATACATCAAGTGTTATAACTCAATTTACAATTAAATTAGCATAAATATAAACATTTTAAAAAATAGATTACCAGATGTTGATGATGACAATGATGATGACAATGAAATTAAATTTGTTTTATTAGTTGTTGATGTAGGTGTTTTATCACCTGCTGCTGCGGTAGAAGAAGAAGTAGAAGTAGGGGTAGTAGTGGTACCAGGAAGTTTAAAGTTAGATATGTTAAAGGTTGACGGTTGAGATGATGTAGAAAATAAAGATGTTGGTTGCTGCTGTTGTGACTGTTGTTGTTGTTGTTGTTGAGAAGTTGAAGCTGAAGGTGTTGTTGCTGCTGCTGCTGTTGTTGTTGGTGTTGTTGTTGGTGGTGTTGTTGTTGTTGTTGAAAGACCTCCGATTCTTGAGAATAGGCTTTGTCCTTGAGTTTTTGGTGTGGAAAGTCCAGAAAACATTGAAGGTGCAGCAGTGGTGGTTGTAGTATTAGAAGCAGGAGCATTAGTGGTATTGGTACTGCTTGATTGGGAAGCTGATTTTATTACATTAGTATCAGCAGCAGCAGTTGTGGTAGAAGTTGGAGTGGTTATTCCAAATAAAGGAAATTTTGGGGGAGCTGTGGTGGTGGGTGTGGATGTGTTGGTAGACAATGATGATGTAGGAAAGGTTGATTTAGTATTGGCACCAAAACCTCCTAATATACTATCTTTGCCTTTATTGGCATTAAAACCTGATGTGTTGAATGATAAAGGTTGAGGTGTAGTAGTAGAACCAGTTGCAGCTGTTGATACATTCGCGGTTTGTCCAAATCCGCCAATATTTGGTTTAAAACCAGAAAAGAAGTTTTGAGTAGATGCTGCAGTAGATGCTGCAGTGGGTGCAGTTTCGGTAGGTTTGGTTAGTCCTTGAAAAGCAGAAGTGCATAAAATTAAAATAAAATATTTTGGTATTCAATAGTGAGTGACATTAGAATGATTGTTTGTTTAAATATCCATAATAGTTTAATATTAAAAAAAAAGTATTACCACTAAATGCAGATGGTGCATTAGTTGTAGTAGCAGTAGTGGTGGTGGGAACAATAGTTCCTGTTGTTGTGAAATTACCAAATGTACTTTTTTGTAGGGTGGAAAATCCACCTGCATTTCCTAAAGTAAATCCTGATGATCCAGTAGTTGCAGAGGTAGAATTAGCTACACTTGAAAATCCACCCCCACTGCCACCACCACCACCACCTCCTAAAGAAAATCCTGATGTATTGTTTGTAGCTGTAGTAGTAGTAGTTTTATTACTGGAAAAATTACTACCTCCAAAAGAAAATCCTGATGAACTAGTTGTAGGGGTAGAGCTAACATTTGAAATTTCTCCGCCACCTCCTAAGGTAAATAATCCCGATGAACCTGTAGTGGTGTTAGTAGGACCACCAACATTACTAGATAAGCTTCCACTCCCAAATGTACCAGTTTGAAAAGTAGATCCAAAGTTATTCGAAGCATTAACAGCAGGGAAGTTACTACCAGGAGTTGATCCGCAAAAACTTGTTAAACCAGTACCGGTAGAAGTTGGTTTAGTAGTAAGTTGAGAAGTGCTGGCACCAAATGATAATGCTGGGACATTGGATGTAGTTGAGGTTGTGGTAGAGGCACCAGGAAAATTAAACCTTCCAAAACTGGTTGGTTTATCTGTAGCATTACTACTAGTTGTAGACGCATTACTAGACAATCCACTAGATCCAAAAGCAAAAGGTGCAGTTGTTGTAGAAGTAGGGAAGCCACCAAATAATTGTTTATTTACATTTGTTGTCGTTGAAGTTGTTGAAGTTGGTCCAAAAATCGGCGGCTGAGAACTTGTAGTGGCAGGAGGATTATTTGTGTTATTATTGTTATTATTGTTGTTGTTATTGTTATTAAAGCTTGCTATAATGATTAAAAGAGTAAAAATAGTAACGATTTAGAGGAAGAAAATGTAACAATAATTTAAAAAAAATTTTGTTAATACTACTAACACATTTTTCTAGACAGAAAATTTTTTTCTGAGAATAATTTTCACTGGTGTATTTTTTTAAATCACTGCGTCAAATGAATGATTTCTATCTGTTTCCACCACCATATTAAAATAGATTTTCTTATAAAGATGCCTTTTCATGTTCTAATTATTCTAAGTGATTTTGACGTCTATATAATAATATATATTTTATAATAAAATAATTGAAAGAAAATCATAGAACAGAAAATATAATTCAAGTTTGCAAATATGACAATAACCTTGATGGTGGTGATATTGATATCTACAAAGAGGCTCCACTCCTTCTGATATACATGTATGTGATTTTAATACATTGTAGTTTTTTTTATTTTCAAATTAAATAAACAAAACTCTGCCAACAATGATGTTCACTAATATTAATGATTTGCTGAATCATAACATTTATGAATGAATTAAGAAAAGGTTTGGGAAGTTTATATTTACAATGATAATTCCAATCTTGTATATCTTGGTCTTAGTTTAAGACAAAATATTATTATAACAAAAAAATTATTTGCATACACCCATTGAATTAAATAGATAAATGGATGAAAAATAATTATTTTGCATATTTGTTATGCTCCACTATACCGCCCCAGCAATTGTCACAAAATGTTTATCTGTTGAAGGACCTGTTATTAAGGCATCCTGTCTGTAACTTGCCAATTCATCATCCTCAATTATCTCTTTTCTCACTCAATTCCTTTTTTTTCTTCTGAATGCAACAAAATTTCCAGAAGATAAATTTTTACTATGAAGAAATTGACTGAGCTGAGAGCATCATAATTAAGCACATTGTCTTTAAACCAACCATCATTAATTAATAAGTGCAATCTAACATTATACATTGCATTACATAAATCTATTTTGATAATATTCTGTTACTAAAACCTTTTCATAATCTATGCTATTTTCATAAGTTTTAAGATATTTGGATAACTAACTGACTAGTAATCATCTATAAACAAATTTTGATGCACAGTTTAAAACCAACCCATTCTTCTCAACAAGGCTAAAGGAAATAGAATAATTCTGACTCATCATGAAACATTAGTTTTTTGGTCATTCATATTTTAACATTTAACCATTCTTGTTGAAGGCTTCTTCTTGGTTTTTTAAAATGTATCATCTTGAGTTGTCAAATCAATTGAACCTTCTGAAGCCAAGATATCTGATTCATCCAAAATGCACTATCCAGAATTTCAGCAATTGCTAAAAAATTAGTCACATGCAGATGGAACATCATATATAAATATGAAATATTAATATCTTTTTTTTTTCGGAAGAGAAAATCCGGATTTTTAAAGTACTATTGCTATTTCACAACTTTGTTCGTCTTATTAAGTGATCTTTCTTTTTTTTTAAAAAGCCCAAAATATAATGATAATAAAGCAACTTGTGATGATTGCATCGAGGCAAGATATAGTTTCCATGTGTAGTAGTGACAAGAAAGAAATCATGAAGGAAAAAAGAAATTGATTAATCACACTGCAAACAGTTCAGGGCCAAATATCGAAAGATAAAATATTTATTACTATAAATGCAGCCTAGATTGATTTGTGAATGTCATAATGACCGTAATTAAAAGCCGTAATGCCGTAATTAGGCCATTAAATGGTCATATAACTTCCAAAATATGTATGGCCGAGTTTGAACTAACTTTTGAGCCACACTTGCCGATTAATCGCAATGCTCATCAATTAACTTGTTTTACGAATTTGCTTATACTAAAAAGCTTTGGCGAATCTGTAAGCACACTTTTATGGTACAATTTAACAACAAATAAAACATAGCCCTATTATAAAGCAACGAATGCTTCGGTGAAGTTCCTTATTTACTTACTTTTCTTCGGATGATCAATTCAGCCGTACGTTAGTAAAATACTTTAACACAATATAACAAAGTGATATGTGATAACGACTTTGGTTAATAAATGTTAGCGCTTTATATCTGGCCAAACACAAAAACACTTGGATTCTTTTATAAAAACAAAATCGATTACGCTCAACAAAAACAAAAAATCAAACCTTTGCTTTCTACAAAAGCAAACAACAAAAACCGAATTACAAAACCTAGAGTTCTATATAGAGTTTCTATTTAAATAAGGTTTATTCGAATTGTTTGTTTTATTCGTTATGAATTAGTTTATTCGAATAAAACGAAACTCTAGTTCTATACCACTCTGATAATAAAATGGACAATTAAACCCCGCTGTTTAATTTCCGGCTACCAAAATGTTTTATTAAAAAAAAAGAATTAATTTGTAAAAATTAACAATTTCTGCCTCTACTCTTATGAGCAAGGCTCTTAGACATACTAGCTAATAGTAGATAGTTCATAGTCCATATTCTGCTTCTATAATAATTTTTATGTTAATCTTTAAAAAATTAATTAATATATTTGTGCTGGGACAAATCTAAGTTGTAATGAATCGAGCTTCTTCCTTGGGAGTCATTAGACATTTTATCTTTCGATTTTGACCGCTTGAAAGTAGATGTAAACGTCATAAAGATTAAATTTCTTAAATCAAAAAGGTTTAAAAGAAATGTACAACAAAGCCTTGATTAATAGAACAAGTTTTTTAGTTGAGTAGAATCTTGTAATTTACATTGATGAACAATTTTAATTATTTTGAAAATAAACCTATATAATTAAATAATGGAGGTGCAAAATTCCTTATTTAATTTTCACATATGTGAGTTGCACTAAGCTTTGAATCCTTTAAAAACATTTTGTAATTATAAAATCTGTTTTTTTTTTTTTATTTATTTATTTATATTAAGAATAGAAGTACAATTGTTTATATTTATATAATTATTTAATAAAGTGTTGCAAATATATAATACGTAAAAAGAAAAAAAGAAAAGAAAAAAGAGTCTTAATTAAATCTTAAAAAAAAAATTTAACTGAATTAAATAAAACGTACCACTTATATTAAAAGTAAAAACTTTTAAAACATTCATTCATATTGAAATTATTTGAAGATATTTTTTTGTAAACATATTATCATAGTTATCATAATTATTATTTAGAATTCAATGTAATTTCTTTTAATAGTATTATTACTTTTAAAGAAATCTAATCTAATTTCACTTAATTTATCAATTGAAGCAATAAAGTTTTGTATATCATTTTCATCTACTGAATTGATTTCTTCTTCGTTGGCAGTGTATTGCTCAAGTTGAATATTTGAAGATGAAGTGTTAAATAAAGGAAAAGTACTTGAAATACTTGAAGATGAAAACAAAACACTATTACTATTATTATCATCTATATTATAATATTGACCTAATTGACTAAAATTATTATTTTTAACATTCGATATTTCAGGTGAAATAAAAATACTATCTTCAAAATTTATCATCTCAAGTTCAAAATGTGGATTTGTTGGATTAATTCCTAAACTTTTTAATAAGTTTTCAATTTCTTCAATTTGCATACCACATGGAAAATTGACTCTTAATTCATATCCAAAAATTTTTATTTCATAGTTTTCATGTTGCAACAATTTCTCCAATATTGATGTAATTTCTTTCATGTGGTTATAATAAAGTTCTGAATTCTCACGAAGTCCTTTAACGATTAAATCGTTTAGTTGTTGAATATCAGGCGGCTTTTTATGAAATAAAGATGTATCACTAATATTTGATATATTTGATATAGAAGTGGCCATGCTGTTAAGTGGCCATAGAGGAGGAGGTGAACTGATCACAAAAGTCATATAGTATTGAATATTTCTAGTGGTATAATCAATGCCTCTATCCAAAATTTCATCGTCATGATCAAAAGTATTATCATTACAAATAGTCATTGCATTGTTATCTTGACTTTTGCTATTATTATTATTACTAATTTTTATTCTTTTATCGATATTTAACGTAGCTTTATCACTTTGATCAAAAAGTTTGCGACCAATAGACTTTTCATGAAATTTAAATTCATTTTTCTTTAAACTATTTGCATTTTTGTTTTCAATTTTTTGATCTAAATTATTAAGATTATATTTTGAGAATAAGGAATCTGGTTTATTAAAAATATTAAAAAACGGTTTGAAGCCTAGGCAAAACATAGCATTTCCACCGCAATTAGTAGCATTATTTACCATTGATGTTGTGTGAATAGTTGAGAATTTCCTACTGTTATTGGCAACAAATACATTTTTTAGACCTATTGGACACAAAGATACGGGATTATGAAATAAACCTATCCTGCTTTGTATATGAAGTTGGTTTGAATTCCAAGACGCAGCTGGAACAGGTTTTGAAAAATAATTAAATTTATTATTAAAAAGACCAAAGTTTTGCTCAATAAAATTATAGAGTTTAGAATTTTCTTGAGCATTGATTAGAGAGAAATTAGATTCTACAAGTTGTTTCTGTAAATCTGCACATTGTTTTGTTGAATGAGAAAGTTGGGAATTACAAGTGGTATTTAAAGATGTTGATTTTTGTGGCCCTCTAACCCCATGAGTAGTCAGAAGACGCTCTAGGGGTTCAACAAAGGCCTTTATTTTTTTTAGCATTTATAAAGTTCGGCTCGCATAAACTAACAAGAACAATTTTTGTTATTTATGTAATACGGTCAACCAAATTTGGAATCGATTCCAATAATGATAGTCTATTTTTGATAATGCTTTTTATTGCGTGTAACGTTCAAAAGTGGGTATTTTACTTGTTACACGGTCTTTATCTCTTCAGCGCCACAACACCAATTTGAGAAAATCAAAAATTTTAATATCGCAATTGTTATTATATAATAATGTTTAAGGTGCGAATAGTAATATATTAATACAACCACAGTACCTGGACAACATTTGCTTTTGTTAATTGCAGTTGAACCTTGTCATAACGAATTTTTGTTACAACGAATTTTGAAAAAAATTTTTTTTTTTAATATTAATAATAAAAAACTTTTGTTACATCGAATTTATTGATATTGATAGAATCTTGTTACGAACAACGAATTTTTGGTAAAATTTTTTGATATAGCGTTACAACGAATTCACGTAATAAATGACCAATAAAAATGCGTTAAAAATCGTATGATTAAAAGAATCATACAATCTATCGTTGTGATAAAAAACATTGTCAATAACTCGAAAGATTGCATGATTACTTTCATGTTTTATAATTGTAATAAAATATATATGATTTAAAAATTGTAATAAAAATATATGATTATTTTCCATGATTTAGAAATTATAATAAAACATTATTCCTGCAGTTTAAAATTGTAATAAAATGTATGATTGTTTGTGATTTAAATATTTTTATGAAATTCTAAAAGGTGCAAATACAAGTCTTGTTGTTTGGGTGGTTATGTATTAAAAAAAAACAAAGTCACAGCCATTGTCATCTAAAAAGTGAAACTTTATTACAGCTGAACAAAAAAGAGAAATTTGCTTATTAAAAAGAAATAATCTCAACCAAAAAATGTTGAATTAGCAGCACAATGTGTTAACTTATTACATTATCATTATATTTATCATTTTTTATTTTTGTAATAAAGAACAATTTTTTTCTTATAGTAAAAAAATTTTTTTGTCATACCCAATATGCTAACAATTTTTATCGATCCTGATCATCTCAGCGAACTTTTGTTACATTAGGTGGTCAATATCATTTGCGGTTTAAATATTTTATGCATATAGGTTTGAATAAATATATAAAAATAAAAAAATTTTCTTTGACGATCACTAAATTTCTGAAGCGAAATTTTTTTATTTTATTACTCAAATTTTATGTAATAATTTTAATTTAAAATTTTAATATTTAGTTGGGTATCCTATGCTTTTTATACAAGCCTGAATTCTTCTAGGCATGCTTACAATCAAATTCATTGAGGAATTTTATTCCATTCCTCTTTTAAATTCAAGTTCTTTAAGAATTCTTAGATTGTTAGGACAACTTCTAATACGATATACTGTTGTAATGGGAAAGCCAAGTATTTTAGAAATACTTCTATATAAGGCTCCACTTTTATAATAATAAAGACCAACTATTTGTCCGCGTTGAGCTTCAGTTAAATTAGACCTTTTTTTTTTTTGAAATTTAAATTTTTAATATTTTTTCAGAATCACCAAACTTGGGTTTTCATATACAAAATTTCCAAAATATATTACTATGTAGGTTCTTGGACAATTTCTAAAAACATCATGTCAAAAATTTTTGATTTCCAAAACTTAATCGCATTTCATTTTTATATATTTATTCGAGTTCTACGGAACCTATATGCATGGGATTTTGCATAGATATTCACAAGAACCTAAACCGCAAATGATATATGTATATTATGTGTATTTTTGCGCAATTAACGAAGCAAGTGTTTCCGAAACTTTTGTCCAGGTACTGTATATTATCTCTGTTAACTATTTCACAAAAGAATTCTTATTTTTATCGCATTCCCTAGACAAAAGTTTTCAGACACCTATTTACAGTACATTAATTACTCAAACATCAATTTATTCATATCAGTTGTAACTTGGGTTTGACGAATAGGTGTATTAAAAACCATACTTCTAACATATTTAGATGTTTAGTGGTTATGAATTTAATTTCAACGACAATAAATTTTTTAATTGGAATCCTATTTTTTATTTACTGGAACTCTAAATGTGTTAATAATAATATAATATATTCGCCAAACTCAAAAGCTACAAATTGATATAAAATTTTTATTTAATTAATTAGTTTCTTTATGAATTTAATTTAATCCTTTGAAAATTCTTATTTTGTTAATTTATTCTTGAGATTTAATATCTTTGTTAGCAACACATTTGTTAATTAGTGAATGCGTGAACAATTTGGAAAATAGCTCTCAGTATAAGATATGAAAAAAATTAATGTGAATTTGTGATTACATGACATTAATTAATTAGATATTTTATAAAAAACTTGCAAAGTAATAGTAGGAAGAAGTACTAGTTTGAAAGCATCCGTGTTATTAAATTTCTCACGGACTATTCGGCTTAGTATTAGTATTAGGAAAAAATATCTGTTATAATAATTTATATATTAATGTTAGGCTTAAATTCTAGATCAATTATAGAAAGATCCGTTATTATAAACCATCAATTAAAAATTCAAGAAAAATTTCTACAAAATTCAAAGATGCTTGACCTACGGTTGGTAAAATATTATCAAAGATGTTTGGGTTGAGCGCCAACATATTGGCCGCCTTTTTTTTATCAGGCTATTCTTTATTAGTCGATTGATTTGTTTTGATTTACCAAAATTCATTTTACCTTACATCATTGTAATCATTATCAGTTAGTTAAAACTCCTCTTTTGCCTAATGTAATAATCAATACAATACCAATAATTCTTTATTGTAGTTTTAATTTTTGTCTGAACCCTTGTCAATCAAGGAGTTAAGGGTTTGAATTACTATAAAAAAAACTCTATAATATTTATTTTTTATATAAATAAATGATTCTGATAATAAACACATTAAAAATAAAACATTGATAATTACTTTTTAATTTTTATATAAATAAATGATTCTGATAATAAACACATTAAAAATAAAACATTGATAATTACTTTTTAATTTTTATAAATATGAAAAACCAAAGCAGGCTTGTTCATAAAACAAAGAGAAAATTTAGTGTTTCAGCAGTGCCACAAACTGTATATCTTGGATTGGAATTAGACTATGATCAGGCCAATCAAAAAAAAATAGTTTATGCTATTTCTATACATGATGGATATTATACAGTTGATTTTGAATCTTCTTCAGTGGATGTTTCCAAATATAAAACTGACCAAGAAAAAATCAATGGAGCCGTTGATGTAATATTAGGAAATATTGCTTTATATGCTAAAACTCAAAAATTCAAGGTTCAAGCTATAGGTCTAGGTGCTTATTTAAAAAATCAAAATGGAAATGATATAAAAAAGTTATTGTTCACGTCACCTAGTTTAGCATCAAGAATTTGGTTAGAACTTGATGCATTGCCATTTATTGTTCATACAAAAGGCAGGACTGTTGATGAGAGAGCTAGTTCTGCTGTTAGAAAAACTGTTGTTTGGTAAATACTAAAAATTTATTGATCTATAAATATTTATATAATCACACACACATATAAACTGACTTTTGCATATTTGCATACATATGAATATAGGATGAGTCCTCTAACACCAGGATCAATTCCAAGAATATCAGTTGGCTATAGGCATGAAGTAGAGGTTGATCTTAATGGAATGATCAAATTGGTTGATTTGCTTCATTATGAAAAAACTGTTTGCCCTGAAACCTGGAGAGTAATAAATACTATTGCAAATGAGCTCAGAGCTAAAAATACTTATATATCATTTTTTAATGCCACTCCTCAAGGTGGTGGAGGTAATTAGTTTTGAATGGATTTATTTATTCATTGATTCAATTTTATTCCATTATTATATTTATATATCTATATATTACCCAATTGATTAGTTGCTTTGATGAGACATGCAATTGTACGTTTATGTCTTTTATTAAAACTTAATGTACACTGGTTTGTTGCCAAACCAAAACCTGAAATTTTTGATATCACAAAAAGAAAATTTCATAATGTTCTACAGGTAGTTAATTATTGAAAAAAATTGTAATCACATAATAATGATTTAATTAAATCTATTCATTTATTCTATATTTAAAAGGGTGTTTCTCCACCTAATGTTAGACTAACAAAATCTGATAAGGAAGAATTCATTGCATGGTCTAATAGTAATGCTAAATGCTTCTGGAATGATGATGAAGGTCCTATAAAAAAAAGTGATGTGATAATTATAGATGATCCACAAGGTACACATGATATTCCATTATCTATATAATCAATCTTTATTATTTAAAATAAAATAATCAATATTATATTTTATATATTTTATATTATAGTTTGTGGTATTATTCCATACATCAAAAAATTTAATCCAACTTGTAAAATTATTTATAGAAGTCATATTGAAAGTAAGTTAATTTTTTTTTTAATTTCTTGTTTCTCCTTGATAAATAAATATTTATATAGATTACCTATATTTATTCAAGTCTGTGCAGATTTAATTAGAGGAAATCCAAATGGTCCACAAGCTGAAACTTGGGATTTCCTATATCAATTCATATCACAAGCCGATCTTTTTGTATCTCATCCAATTGCAAATTTTATACCAGATAATGTTCCTTGTAAAAAAGTAATTATAAATAAAAAATTTATTATTTGATATATTATTTACTTTGACAATATTCACACTCTTTTTTTAAAACATCATTTAGGTTGTATTGCTTCCAGCTTGTACAGATCCATTAGACGGTTTAAATAAAGAATTAAAAGATTCAGACAAAGAATATTATAAACAAATTTATAATCGTTTATCAAGTGATCAATGTGGCACAGAAATAGATTTTCGGAGGCCATATATTGTTCAAGTTGCTAGGTTTGACCCAAGTAAAGGTATTAATTTATTATATATTATTAGATAATATTATTGTTAATTGGAGCCGAGAAAAAAATTCTTTTCAATATTAATTTTTAATGTAATAATATCATTATAGGTATTCCATTATTAATTGAATCATTTAGATTATTTAGAGAGAAATTGAAAAATACAGGTTGGAATAACTACGGGATGCCCTCATTAATTATATGTGGTGCTGGTAGTGTAGATGATCCTGATGGTACATTAATATATGAACAAATTCATTCTTTGCTAGATGAAAGTATAAATCAAGATATAGTTGATGATGTATCAATTGTAAGATTACCACCTTGTGATCAACTTTTTAATACAATGTTAAGGTGTGCACATGTTGTATTACAATTAAGTACACGAGAAGGATTTGAAATTAAAGTCACTGAAGCTTTGGCAAAAGGTGTACCTGTTGTAGCTTTTAAGGCTGGTGGTATACCATTACAAATTCGCCATGGAGAAACTGGCTTTTTAGTTGATATAGGTGATACTAGTCAAGTTGCTGACTATTTATATCAATTATTTAATGATAGTGACCTCCATAGTAGAATGTCACAAGCAGCAAAGACAACAGTCAATGAAGAATACTTTACAGTATTTCAAACTTTAAATTGGTTATATATTATAAATCAATTGAGTAATAGTAAGAAATCAAAAAATATTAGTAAAGGTGCTAATATAGATAATGATGATGATGATGATGATGGTGATGATAAAGAAGAACCCAATATAATTAAAAAGGTTGGGGAAGAAGAAGGTGAAAGTTTGGTGAGTGATGGTAAATGGGCGAAAGAATTATGGACTGAAAAATATAATTACAAAGGAAAAGATATGATTGATGGTATTTATTATTGATAGATAAATAATGTTGTTTTCATTATCATCATCATTATTCTTGGTACTGTTACTAAAGTATTTATTATTGATTTTAGGTTCTTGACTTCATTATTAAATCATAGCATTACCAATTTTTAGAAGTTTTATATATAATACATAATATTTCGGTCATTTACACACCATATTTGTTTATTAATCATTTCATATTCATTTGCTTGTCATGTATTCATTTATTTATTTTTTATATATTCTATTAGTGACTAAGAAAAATATAAAGAAAATATTTATTGAAATGATCTTATTCCTTACCCTTTGTACATTATTAAATTATTAAAAATAAATGTTAACTAATTTATTACTAAACATTACTAATATGACAAATGTTCATGTAAAAATAAATATAAAGTCATCAAAAATATTTAAATTAGCTATAATTCCAAAGTCCACAATCTTCACATTCATGTTCATGTTTACATTCTGGCAATGCAAAGTTATAAGTCACATTCCAAAGAGTTAAAATTTTTTCAATCACTTCTTTGATGCTGTGTGTTTTTAAACTTACACCCCATTTTAATTTCTCAACTACATCAAATACACATGTTTTTCCAACATGACACTTTGTCTCCATCTTTTTTTTTTAATTTGAAACAAAAGAAATTTATTAGAAAATTTTAGATATTAAGAAAAATAAACATCCATAACTTACTGCATATCCACCAAGATAGCACCAACTTGTAATCCCCTATAAAAATATATATATATTAGTATATCAAAGATGATTATTAATAACAAAGACTTTAAAATTTAACTAATAATTATTTGACTATTACATTACAAAGACCCATGTAAATAGGATCAGCAGTTTGACCAATATGCCAAATAGGTAATAGTTCATATGGTATAGCTGGAGGTCCCGGTAAATGTAATCTTTTTGCAGCTCGTCTTTCCCCAGGTGCCTCATATGCAACCACTGGCAAGCCGTGAGTTAATCCTAGCAATGAGGCCAAGGATCCACCAAGAGAATGGCCAATTAACCATATTTTTGAATCTTGAAATTCAGAAGCCATATTATCAAAAAGATTCTTTTTATGATAATTAAAGCAAGAATGGAAAAAAATAAAATATTAGAAGTAAATAACAATTAATTATCAAAGAAAAAATTTTTTTTCAATTAAAAAAGAGACAAATGATTTACCAAAACAACTTTGTAATATAATGAATCATCCGATTCTTTATCAACACTCTCTTGTAAACAGTCAGTATCACAATTGTAATTGTCACGATGACAATCACATACACCAGACCAGGTACGATCAACTTTGGCACAACAACATGAAAATAATAAGTTATCCTAATAAATTAAGATCAAAATTGATTTTAAAAAAAGCATCACTATAAACTTTTAGGAAATGATAATCAAAATGAAATTTTATAAAAAACAAACATTAATTTTGTCACGTTTAGTAGTTGGTCCATTTAATTCCATACTGGTTCCTTTTATTGCTATTATTATTAACTCATTATCTTGACTAGTAAATACATGACCACGAACACCATCTTCTTCCCATCCAAATGATTTATTCTGATCGAATCAAAAATAATAGTAGTGTATTAATTAGTAAAGAGAAATATAAGCATCAAGAATATATGATATAAAATAAGAAAAAGTCTTTTTTAATAAATTTTGATGACACATACCTTAGGATATTCTTTGCCTATATCATACCAATCAATGGCATCATTATCAATCAAGTAAGCATTATAAGTCATTTTTGCCAAATTAATCAATGTTCTATAATCTTTAATATCTGGCACAAGTTTAATTTCTTCATCCCAATCAATAATAGTCGAAATTCCTTCGTTTTGTGAACGTAAACGAAATTCATTAATAGCATTTTGTTTTGTAGGTCTAACACTAGTTCCATTGATAGCTCTGATTGTGTGAGTAAAAGGAATACCACTACTTTGTTCTTTTGCTAAAATTTCAAAGTCACTAAAATCTTTGCGTTTAATAAGATTAGGAAAACGAGTAGAGCCATGATGAAAAATATGCTTTAGTTTAACTGTTTTTAATAATCCATCTTCATTGGATGTTGTTGTAGTAGTAGCAGTACATTCTGATTGGTGATCATTTAATGTAAGCACTAAAATTATAATAAATATGTAAAGAAGGCTTGTTGTAAGTTTGATGATATGATTTGAGAAATGATGCTTCTTCATGTGTAATTTTCTAAAGTACAGTTTTTTTACTTTTAAAAAGAAATAAAAAAATCTGTAATTTTGATTTCAACTTTTATGCACGCCGATCCAATTTTTTAACTCTAATATCAAAATGGTTATTAAATGGTGCCCCATTCATCTGGCACCTAGTTGGGGTGCGCGATATTCCAAGAAAGGCTAGGATTTATAATAATAATATATAGTAAAAAAAGTTGCTTTCAAATCACTACTGCGTTTCCATTTCCAAAGCTATAGGCACCAATTGATTTTCAAAATGTATGGGCTCAAGACCAAATAGAGTAGAACAAAAAACTCTTTGTAATTATAAAATGCACACCATCTACTACTACCACAGAAATTCTGTCAATCACGCCCAACATTAGATGAATAATGAAGCTATCAGTATTATTATTATTATTATAATAAAAATAGGTATTAGTTTGGGAAATTTCTAATGACCATAACATGGCGCCTATCCTTAAATTAGTTAATTTTTTAATATTGTATCACAAAACAAAAAAATGATTTTTCCAAAAATTATACGTTCAACTCTCATTTTCAAACTATAATAGTAATATTTCACCAAAATTATTAGCAGCTTCAAGGAGCGTTTCTGCTCGTTATAGTATCATGTCTACTATTTCAACATTGAAAGAAGAAATAAATACATGGTCTTCATCTACGCCATCAGACAAAATTTCTAATTCGATTATTCCTTTAACTACAATTAACGTTGAAGATGAAATACATAGAACTGCAATCAAAATTTTTCAACAATCAATAGATCTTTTAATAAATTTATCTAATAATGGTGATGAAGATTATCTTCACATTTATTAGAGTAAATTTTTACCACAAAGTTCTATTGGAAATATATTAGGGAAGTAATTTCAGCAATTAATTAAGATGTATTAATTACTTGATAAATATTGCAATTAATATAAATATTTTATATCTAGACATTTATGTGACTATTTTAGATTATTGATTGAATCAAATCGCTGATAGAGAAAAGAACATAATCACCCATTAGATGATTATGAAAAAAAAAAGATTGTAGATTATGATAATAGAATGGCAAATGTAGTAATATATGCATGTGTGTGTTGTATTTACGCATATGTGTTGTATTTACACATATGTACACATTTATTTGTATGTATAAATATGTATAAATACTAACACACATACTTCAATCGAAATTAGAAAGAATAAAAACATCAAATTTGAAAGCGGTAAAGATCATTCAGTTATTTCCTTGACTTTCCAATGAAAGCTAAATTTAACAATTGATTAAATTAAATTCTACATACAGTAAGGAATTATGGAATTATGTTTTTGTTGTCATCACGCAGTAAATAAATAAATAAATAAATATATTAATTTTTTTTCGTTAATAAATATTTTTTGAATTTATTATTAGATATGTATAGAATTAAATGGCAAAAAATTGTTAGTACATGTACTACTATGTTCACGTTATGATCATCGCTAAATTTAGACTATCTCTCGAACATCATATCTAAATTTGGCAGTAAAGAATTTTAAAACCAAAATCAGGTGACCCATTTGTTAAGAGTATGGCGTAGCAATATTAATATTATAATTTTTGATCCAAGACCCAACCCGCTTATTAATATGGGAGGAATACCCCTTTTGAGGTTATTCCAAAAATTTTTTTACCCCACTTTAATGAGGCACTCACACGGAAACCTTTAGTAAAAGGCGAAAGGTTTATACGATCTGCAAGTACCTCGTGGGAATGTAGAAATAAATCTAGCGAAATTAATGTTTTATTTATTACAATTGCAGATTAATTTGATAATTATGGGATTTTTATCCGTGTGTAACACCATAATGATATTGTGCAATAAAATCAAATTAAAAATTTTTTTTCAATAATCATGGTTGACATTTCATCAAGTAAATTTATCAAGAGCACCAACACCACCAAGTGTCTAAAATCTATGTGCGGAACATTCGCTCCGAGCATAATAATTTATTTGCGCACAGTATAATTTTAGGGATGTGTACCGTCCGACCTCGATTTTTTATTGTGGTTTAATGTGCGGGATTCAGTTAGATCAAATGAAATATTAAATTATATATATTAATACATGTTAATGTCAGTTCACAAATCCTTATATAAAAAATCATTATTTTTTTTCTCAATATTTTTTTCTGATGAACTTTTTCAAATATAAGATATCTTTTTATTCACTCCATTCACATTAAAGCTTTTGAAAAGTATTCAAAAATGGATAAATTTGTTATTTGTGAAAATAAAGAAAAAAGGAATGAAGGATCCAAACAGGCAGTAACTACACAAAAAAATAAGGAAATAACCAGACAAGAATTAAATAAAGTATGTGAAGATTTTGATCCAAATTGGTTACGAGTTTACCCTTGGCTTGAAAAAAGTGAAGACAGTAATAGAAAGGTGACAATGTTTTTCGAAAAATATAAACAAAATTTATCAATTGTTTTATAATTTATTTTATTACTTATGTAAAATTGCCCGCACATTAGTTTGATAATAATGTGTGGTCAACGCACATAATTTCGAGTTCAGATTTTAGACACTGAACACCACATACCAATTGAAGATAGCCAAGAAAATTTTTTGTTTTCGACCAGAGGATTTCAGTACATAATATGTCACGACCCTTGATCTTACAGATTTTGGTAAAATTTATCAACGATCTATAAGCTTGCTCAATTGTCAGATATAAGCAGTAGGTAGATATTGGTGGGATATGCTGCAACAAACAAAGTGAACATAATTTTGATGGTTGAAAATTGCTCAATTTACATCACTTATTGTTTCTTATTTTTTTTAATCATTCAATGCCTCCATATTAAGATAAGCCTATTCCTTTGTTGTTTGGATTTTACTTGGCCTAACTCTATTTGTCAACACATTTTTTGATTTAATATGTAAAGTTCAAAAATTCACTCGCCATCCTTACACAAGGTGCTATTTCATGATTTTTACAAGTGTTGGTAAAAGTTTGAAGTTTAGAAATTGAAGCGGTTGTGGTGTTTGTGGTAGGTCCAGTGATGGTAAAAGAGTAATAAGAGGGACTGACGTCATCAATAACAAGTTCTACACAACTTTTATAGTTAACAAATTTTAACTTGAACTTTTTTTCAGGCAAACTAAATCAACAGACTACCGTGAAATAAAAGGACTTCGCTGAAGATATTTCATCTTTACCACAATCATCCATTTTTTTTTCTTATTACGACGTGCAAAAATTCTATATCAAATATCTTTTGATATTGTTGATAATAATGATAATAATAGTAATAACGAAGAAGAGTTCAATGAAAAAAAACCTATCAATAATAAACAAAGAGTTTTTACATTATCTAACCAGAAGAATAAATTCTCGATGATATGATTATAATTTGTTTTTTTAAGCATTTATAATATATTATATTAAAAAAATTTTTTTGCTTTTAAACAAAGACATCTTTGAATGATATTTGATACTCTTTTTTAAAAAGGTAAAGAAAAATTTAAATATAAATATTGTAAATCATATAAGATTGATCTAATAAATTTAAAATTTAGATTCAAGCTTGAGAATCAGTTTAAATGAACCTGCTCAATTAAACAATTGTAATAAATTTATATATGTGGACCAGCATCACAGGGGTTTTAAATATTATCGTCAATGAATGTTTGGAAAGATGATTAATGAACTTGAAATTGTCTTAAAGGATCTCGACCAATTCTTTCATTTGATAAAAAAAAAATGAATCTGAATTTGATTTCGTAGCTTTTAGGTATGTTTGCGTGATAATTTTAATTAAACAAATATCTTTATTCTTTGATAACAATAGATCGCTGATAAAGATCCTACGCATTTTAACAAAAACATATTTCTTTGTTGGAGGTACGACCAAGATTTGTTACGAATTTTATTAGAATTCTTAAGAGAAGCTTCAACGGAGCAACATTATTTTCAAATACTGATTTCTTTCTCCTAATAAGGTAATTATTATCTTCATTTTTTTTAAAAAATTATTAGTTAAATTCACCGAATCTTAGAATGGAAAAGCAAATAAATATCAGGAACAATTAATTACTTGCTAAACAAAATTGATAATATACCTGAAGATCCTATCTTTTTTAAAAGCTAATGATATTAATATTAATATTATCCTTTTTTTTAAATGAATGTTTGAATGGATATTTTGGGCTAGGACTAGGTTAAATGATGAGGTTTATAGTTTTACAATAAATATTGAATGCTGGTATTATTGATGAAAGAGAATGGATAACAAATAGAGAGTGCCATGAAGATGAACCAGTTTTTAGAACTGATGTAGCAAGACTGTAATTACAAATTTTATTTCATAAATGAACACCAATATTTTTTGCTATAGTGATTGTGACATTTCTGACTGTTGATTGAGAGTTTTGTAGTGGTGTTGATGTGTGATATGAGTGTGTAAGGTTCAGGAGCACGAATTATTATGGAAGAAACAGGATAAGTTTATTGAAAAAAAGAGTTAACATTCATTCAAGGCTGTGTATTGAATAGTCAATTGGTATATCATTTGACACAGAAACCAATACGATGTCCAACTATTCCTGATTTTGTATTATTCTTATTGGTTGAAAATATTCTATAGATTTAAGATGTGCAAAGGGTAATCTTGGTAAAAGTGTAAATGGTGGAACTTTACAATCACACACAGGTAATTCTTCATGTGATAAGGCACCACACCATTCACCACCATAGCCTGCTGATGTGCCATATAAATTACTAATGAAATTTATTAGAAGTTGATATATGAATAAGTAGTTTATTTAATTTTAAAAAAAAATTATAGATATATATATATATATACACACACAAACCTCCAAAGTGCTTTATCATCATATGCATGAATTGTACGATTATTCATACAGATTAATTGTTCTAATGGGGAGAAATATCTCATTTCACATTTTATGGGAACATATAAAGTATCATTATCAACCTTCATCACTGATTCGTAATGAATAAAAGGATGAAAGGAATTATGATATTCTGCAGATACCCAAATCCGGAAAAATCAGAATCAGCATCAAAATATCATTCGGGAGAAAAGTTCCATCATTTAATGTGGCTATCAACTTATTTTCAGGTTGAAGTAAAATCTTGTAACCTTCAAAATCATTGAATAATTTCCAGGATATTTGATATAAGTTAACCCTCTGAAAATATTTGAATGTTTTTTTAGTCATTATCATGAACAATTGATGACTGATTGCTCTTGCAAATATGTTATGATGGGTGGGCCTTTTAATTAATGCTGATTTTCAAAAAGACTTTTTGGTACCTTTTTCCCCCCCCCCCCCCCCACAAAAAATAATATTTTACAAATATTAGGAAAAAAAACAAATTATACGATCTATAATAAATATAAATATAAAATATATTTACTGCTACTATAAATATGAATTCCTTTATGCATGTTTTCAATAACTAAAATTTTCGTTCATTCATTTATTATTTAAAAAAAAAATATTTAATTTAACAAGAAACAAACATTTGCCGTGTCACGACCACCCTGGTGGCAGAGTATCTTTCTTTTTTTGTTTAAATAAAATTAAATAAATGTGTTACGAATTAATTAATGATAATTAAATATACGGGACGTAAACGATAAACAATTATACAAATAAACAATTAGAAAATAATAATAAAATAAATAAAAATAGATTAAATTGTCCCGGAATTAAGAGATTCGGCCAAAAGATCTTTGTCAAAGTTTAATCCCAGTAACAATATTTTTATCCCAACAGGGATAAACAAATAATCAATTCAATTGTCATTTAATTAAATGCACATTTTAATT